GTGCTGTGACACCACTGTCCAAAGTTAGGTGAGGGTTGAGCGCTTTCAAACATGTTTTGTATAAGAGAGAGAGTCGAAAGGGACATCCATACTCACAAGTCAAAACGAAACTGACAACGCCATGGTAAGAAAGAAAAAGACCAAAGACATGGTAAGGAAAAAAGATACCAAAGACAACCAATATACAAAACACGACATAGAAAACTAAAGACTAAAGCAACACAAACTCCAGCAAAAACCTATAAGTTAGGCCATTAGTTTTCTCGTATGAATTGTTTCACATTTTTCATGTCGGGGTCTTTCATAGCTGATTCTAAGGTATGTGTTTTCTCATTGTTGAAGACAGTAGGGCGGTCGATACTTGTTTTTATCTTCGTCATTTGAACTCTTGTGGATAGTTGTGTCATTGTCAATCATACCACATCTCTTTATTTTTATATGTATGTCCGTGTTCACATAAATATTGTTTACATCACAATTATTTACCATATGAAATCCGTATCGGTACGCTAACATGAAAAATGTTCACATCACGTAAATATACTGTATGGAATCGACATTGATAGACGTATGTTTGGGTCGATACAACATGTGTACCTGGGCGTTCACTTATTGGATAGATCCAACATGTTTACATGGATGTGGACATATTCGATCGATTTAAACATAAATCAAAACCTGGGTGGGTAGAATACACTGGACGTGCATGATGTGAACTGTCTTTACTTGCACACAGACATGTTTGAACTATCCAAATATACGTATGGCGGTGTCCATGAAATCTATAAGATGTGGCAAACAATAATGTACCATCGGTGTCGTGCTTTGAAAAGGACTTGATTTGAACCTTTTTGTTGTTTTTTAAACGTAGATGCACTGACATATAACATTTTAAGCCATTGAAATTTTGTTTATTCACTCGATAAAAATGTGGACCGCACTAAAAAATCCAGGATTTCTCTCGAAAAAACCCGGATATATAAAAATAAATTAATTCTAAAAATGTCATTCGCAATGCAATACAATGTAATTTTTATAACGTGTCTGTATATCTAAGGATATAAAGATTCCAAACAAACATTGTCTTTGACATTTGCATTGGTATGTGCATAACAATAGCTTTATTCTATATTTTGGAACAAAAGCATTGTAATTCTAAATTTAACATTTATAACACAAACAAATGTAGGGTTGGTGATGACTTTTTATCACAAATACTAACTAACCTTGTATGATCTTGGACATTAAGTTCAGACATCTATTTCATGTCTTACAAGAAAATAAGTCTGTTTATTTACATGTTTGGTCATATTCACTCGAAAAAAACGTGGTCAGACTTAAAGAACACGATCAAATCAATCGACACAAAACACGATCCCAGCCGTACAGCCAGCGTTAAAGATTATACGCGTCCTTTCTATTAAAACATAGAATATCATAACTGTTCATCAAGAAAACAACAGTATTCGTTTCATACATATCTTAGATAAGAATTTTCGTACCTGTAGAGACGTGGCCGGGTACTTATACATCCTTACAACAAAAAAGACACTAAGTTCAGATCTGAGAGTACTCGCAGTTACTGACAGCTAGTTCAAAGCCAATAAAAACTTATAAAAAAAATCATGCATCTAAGACTAAAATATCAATTCGTACAGATCCAACATCCAATGGATTTAGTGTATGACATCAGGAACAGTCAGAGAAAAACACGACAGATTGAAGGGCCGTGAATGTACATATGTATTTAAAAGTATTTAGTTAGTTTTAACTTACTGATTACAAAATCAATATTAATACCAATAAAAACAATATTCAAAGATCTAATTATAGTGTGGAATTGGTAACCTATTAGAATGACTTTATTTAAAGGATTGATAAGTTTGCCCGGATCGTATCTTAATTTCCGGGCTCGGTAAACAACATCTTCGTAAAACTTTATTAATTGGTTGGTTTCAAGAGTTACCGTTGATACGGTAGAATAAAAAAGGACGAACTAGTTACTCCCTGATATTCTAGTTAGAAGAAGAAATAGTTCTTTTTTTTAGCATTTCATGAACATTTCATTTGTAGAAGTTTACTTTTTAACATTTAGAATTAAATGTTTTTTTAAAACAATAATTCAACCGCTTGTGCTTTATATTACGCGAAAAACAGATGTCCATCAAACATACATGATTTTATGCACTATCGCCACCTTGATTTGTGTTACAACTTTAATCCAGAACAATATATCGACTATCCTAGACACATCCAACAAACGTGTTTGTCATATGGTGGAGAATTACTGAGGATATATTCACAGGGTAGCCAAACGTACATAGAGCATATTCTCAGTTGGTCAAATTAAGTACAATATAAATTAATATTCAAATTAGCCGTGCTTGAATTTTTTATAAGATTTGCTCAATCAAATGTTGAATCTGTTTTCCTCTATAAAAATATCAAAGTACGTCTGTCCACGATTTACTGTTACAGAACGTCCCCTCTTCCTTCGTTAATTTCCTCTAGTGAGCAGGAACAGCTCTACTGCACAATGAACTTCAGCTCTGCCCTGCTAATTGGTGTTATTCTTGTCCCCGGTCTTGGTCTTTGTGTACTTTGTTGAGTAATACTGTTCATCTTAAAGTCCTATCAGGGATGTATGCCCTTCAGCGATTCATAATTGCCTTCTTGATATCTTATTTTTTTACAGAAGGAAGAACAACTTTACGTGTAGCTATACAAGGCAACTCATACAACCCGGGTTTGGCTTGGACTTTTGATGACGGAACTCCACTAACATACACAAACTAGCTTTCCGGAGGACCTGATGTCGGACAAGATTACTTACAGATTTTTACTGATGAATTTTGGACTGACCAAAATGAATTTATTCTAAATAAAAATAAAACGTTCCTCTGTGAAAGAAGACTATAGAATGACCAAAAGAAATTACCAAAGATTGGACAATATCATATACAGATTTTTCACGATGATTTTAACCTGCATAAGAATAATATGTTCTTCTGTGAAAGAAGACCATAGAGTGATTTGCTTGAAACAGTTTTCATTGAAATAACACACACATATCAATTCTTTTAAAATAAGGTATTCACATTTTAATAAATAATGCGTTCAAATATTCATAATTTTAGGAGTCAATTAATTCATAACATATACTGTTATTATAATTTAAGTGTGATAAATCTGAGAAAGATAAAAATGTTAAAAAATGTCTTAATCCTCTGATAAAATTTACTAGATGAAAAAAACTTTCTAAATTTTGCCTATATTTGTTGAAGTCATAACACTAAAGAACTGTATGCATTGAACAGAAACACTGGAATATTGTAGAAAACGCATTATCAATACCGGTTCAATATCCTTCAATGATCTTGTACCACCAAAGTTAAAAAGTATCAATTAAGAGTTGATGATCAAATAGACCTTTTCAGCCTTGTAACTAGTTAATAGTGTTACATGCAATTACATAATTGTTATTTCGTGCGAAATTGTGTCAAAACGAAATCAATGTTATCAATATATCGAATGTCACTCACCAAACAATAATGCATACTCAAGTGGATTTGATTTATATGTCTTAAAGCCAAATGCTATCATTAAGTTCCACTTGTTTCTTCATAAAATGGAGAATATTTTTATTGAGGTATTTCATGATAAATTAAGGCTGACGTAAACTATTTGCTTATTATTTTCATGTTTGGTACAATATATGGGATGTGGAGTATACGTCAATGACATAACAACTGAGTCTTATTATTTTCTTTAGTTCTGAGCAACCCATACATTATAGACAATAATGATAATTTTGAGGTTTATATTTACCACTTCGTTGCTTAATGCATCACGAAAAAACTGATGTTTGTTTTCCATGACTGTTTATTTTTGAAATTAATGTCCTGAATGTTCTGATCTCTTTGATATATATTTGTTTAAAGTTTTGATTGATTTTTGAAAACCGTAAATGTGTTTGTTAAATTTTGACAAGGCCTATGAATAAAATTCCAAATTGCATTCATATACAGTGTTGAAATGATTTCTCATGTATCATGATATTCATTTGTCTCTATAATATATAACAACCAATATGTTATCATACTATTTCATTGTAAAACCCAACACTTTTCTGTTGATAGAAATGGCGTCAAGGAAATTAATGATGAGTTTTAAAAATACCTTTCTTATCTGTTAACCAGCGCACCTATTCAATGATATAAAAAGGAAACAGGTCCATACAATTATATGAAACCAAACTGATTCTAAAGATAAGTGGCATTTAGATCCTGCAAATATTTAAAAACGGATAATTGATAGAATGCATAGAATTATATACATTCAAAAATAATTATATCCTTTGAAAATGTTATCCTTTTGTTTGTTTCATTCTTAAAGTAGTCAAACAATCATCTCTTGTTTTTTGTTTACATATATCAAATTTAGCGTATTATTTCTTTGAAAAAATCTCGACCAATTTGATAATTATTTCACATCATCATTCTGACATGTAGGCCAATTCTGTATAGAATTATATAATAGTCATTAAAAAGACAAACGAGATAATGCAAATTTGTTTTTTTTTAATTGGAAATAGATTTTCAAAGTGTGATTTGTTTGAATAGATTTTGAAATTAAAAGCTTTGGTGATGTCAATATAAACATTTACTAATCATATTTCTCCAATATCATGTTTTAAAAAAGTGTACACTTTGAATGTTCCATGAATATAATATCACATTGAATTTATTTCACGAGCAATATCCAAGTGCAACGTAGTCAGTTATAAAAATGTCTAGCAGTATATTTTTTCACGTTACTATGATTTGTGGACTTTGTTTGGTACAAACCACAACTGTCTATTTTAAGGCACAGGCAGTTAATTCTGGACAAGTTCATTACACCGGAGCACTAGTTGTTTTGAATGAAAATACTTTGACATTTTGTTTACAGCAATGTTATAACAATAAAAAATGCATGACAATTTTCTACAACCGACTTACAAAAGGATGTGTATTACATTCTAAAACATTTAAATACAGCGTTCCTGAACAAGTACAAGATGGATGGACATTTTATCTTTTGGTAGTTAGTAAGTACAAACATTGTATTTTAAATTTCTTGACAATTTATTACAATGATGAAATATTGATCGTGATTGTACAATGCTAACAAAGACATTTGTGCAAGTTTTGTACATAGTACAAAATGTAATCTCTATTTGAGCCATTTTTTGTTACATTTTTATGTTGCTTCTAACCTGTGAGCTTAACTTGAAGAAATAAAGAGAAAATGATCGGAACGATTTGGAAAAATGATTGTTTGAAATTTTGTCAGTCATGACGTAGAATTAACATTCATTAATAAAGAAACTTTATATATGATTTGCTTGGGATTTATAGCTTTGTTCAGTCTCATCACCGACGTCCGATGTTGATAAATAAAGGCAATAGTAATCTATCGATTAAGCGAGAAAAAAATCCGGGTCACAAACCAAAACCGAGGGAAACACAACAACTATAAGATGATAACAACGGAACAACAGAAACACTGAACTGCAACAAAAACAAACACCAACATACATAGAAATGACTATTTGATAACAACTGCCATATTCCTGACTTGGAACAGGAGATTTTAAGAAAAAAATGGTGGGTTGAACCTGGTTTTATGGCTAGCCAAACCTCCCACTTATATAGCAATGTTAAAATTACCGCTAGAATGACAACATTACGTGACAGGAATACAGTAAAAATAAACGCAAGAACACTCAGGACAGAGAAACACATAAATAAATAATATAATATTACATTACAACATGTAAACCACAGAAAAACAATTGACACCTCCCATGAATCCACGACAGCACACCAGGACACCACAAACGAATTATAAACTTCACACGTATGTATCAATGCCACAAGTGACGTATTTTTTTTTTTACGTTAATATTATCACAGATAATTTCTAGAAATAGAATAGATTTGTTTTATTGTAGACACGTACAAGAATATAAGATTGAGTTTGTAATGGTATTATTTTATGTATTTTCTTATATAAAAAGAAGATGTGGTATGATTGCCAATAAGACAACTCCCCACAAGAGACCAAAATGACACAGAAATTAACAACTAAAGATCACCATACGACCTTCAACAATGAGCAAAGCCCATATCGCATAGTCAGCTATAAAAGGCCCCGAAATGACAAATGTAAAACAATTCAAACGAGAAAACCAACGGCTTAATTTATGTACAAAATAGTAAACGAAAAACAAATATGTAACACAGCAACAAACGACAACCACTGAATTACAGGCTCCTGACTTGGGACAGGCACATACAGAATGTGGCGGGGTTAAACATGTTACCTGGCGCCCAACCCTCCCCTAACATGGGAAAGTGGTGTAACAGTACAACATAAGAACAAACTATAAAAATCAGTTGAGAAAGGCTTAACTCATCAGATGGATACAAATAGAAATACATTTAACAAACACAGAGTGGACGTGGACGGGTACTTGTACATCCCCAAAACAGAAAGACAGTAAGTACAGATCTGAGAGTACTCGCAGTTATTGACAGCTAGTTCAAAGCCAATAACAACTAATAAAAAAAATCATGCATCTAAGACTAAATTATCAATCAGTACACATATAACAGTCAATTGATTTAGTGTAAAGACGACATAAACAGTCAGAGAAAAACATGACCTTGTGCAATGCCAAGATACAGAGCCATGACAAGAATATTAAAATGGAATTGTGATGGTGTTATAATTTGTATTTTCTTACCATGTCGGTTTTCCTTCTAAATCAAAACTGTGTATAAACAAAAAAATCCTTTGCATATAGTTGCTTTAAACTAAAAATCATATAAATGAAATAGCTGATTAATTATCTGAACTTTTACATACACATAAAAAATAAAAATAAAATAACTGTAATATAAGGCAAGATCATGTAAGACCAAACAGTAAACACACTTGAAAACAAACAACATAAAACAAAAACACTGCATACGAACCACGAGTAACTCGACTATACTGGCAACTAAGACATATGTGAAATGTACCGAAAATACAGAATTCAAACCACAAACGATAAGACATAACACAATATCTAACTAGACTTACAAAAGAATCATCATAACTAAATACATGAATGTTGGATGTATAAATACCGAGACACGTCGTATAGCAATGCGAATCCACACTCGGCAAACAGTCATATTCAGGAATAGGTCACATTGATAAGTTTGACCCAAAGGTCTGTAGTCTACTTTATGTTTGCTATTAATTCAAAGCAAAGTATTGTTTCTATTATGAATAACACACAAACAGGATCAAAATCGATTTTCCAATTTTCAACATATCAATATTGTAAAATGTCAGCTGCTCAACATAATATGAAAGCTTTATGACCTCACTCGACAAAATATAAAGCCTTTATGACCTCACTCGACATCATATGAAGCATTTATAACCTCACTCGACATAAAATGAAGCCTTTATGACCTCACTCGACATAAATCGCTACATTGTGTCTTGCAGCTTGTAATTTACAGTCTAATGGAATAAAATATTAGTTGGTTTCAAGAGTTACTTTTTAAAAACACGCAATAGTATAATCTACAGTCGTATAAACTTTTAAATTCTATCGGTAACGCGCTTGAAAATAAAAAAAAAACAACGTGAAATAGATACTTCATGATGTTCTAGCCAAGATAATAAATGTTTCTCCCTTTTTTAGAATTTCATGAAAATTTTATTCGTAGAAGTTTATTTTTCAGCAAATAAAATGAACAATAGTATATTAAACAATAATTCAACCGCTTGTGTTTTATATATAGCGAAAAACAGGTGTCCATCAGACATAGATGGTTTTATGCACTATCGCCATCTTGATTTGTGTTACAACTTTAACCCAGAACATTATATCGACTATCCTGGACACATCCAACAAACGTGTTCGTCATATGGTGGAGAATTACTGAGGATTGATTCACAGGAGCGCCAAACGTATATAGAGCATATTCTCGGTTGGTTTATTAAAATATAAGACATTCATTAAATGTAAAGAAATAATAGATAAATTAATATATAAATTAGCCGTACATTGATATGTACTTGAAATTTTATAAAATTTACTAAATCAAATGTTGAATCTATTTTCCTCTATAAAACATTATCAAAGTCCGTCTGTCCTCGAGTTGCTGTTACGGAACGTCCTCTCATCCTAAGTGCATTTCTGCTAGTGGCAGTTACATAAACTTGCTCGTTTTGAAATTGTTGATACAGCTCAACCATACTGCAATATTCCCACGTACCCCTTGATTCATCTAACAGAAGCATTGACGGTAGATACATGTATCTGCACGCTTTTCTAACTCTCTTCTACTCTCCTGCTCTACTGTGTTAATGTCCTTGTCCAAATCCTGTTCGTTCGTATATCGTGTTTCTAAGATTTTGGTTGTGCATCCCATACACATTTTGCCTATAAATTGTTGCAGTGGAGTACAATTTCTTTGTTGACACAACTCACATGCCCACGATTTCCCCTTTGTCTTGAAGTGTAATTAAAGTTGATATTTGGTTGTCTTCGCTTAACATGAAAATATTAATTTAGATGAAGTATATAAAAGCTAAGAACAATTTATATTAGATTAAAGACATCCTAGTATATCTCGTTTTATTCACGACACAAGGTAACATTTTCCATGGCTTCTCTTCTTTGTCAAGTTAGTGTTTTGCCAATTTAAACCATTTCTCAGTCCGTTGACAAAAAAGATGATATCAATTATGAAAATATATAAATTGAACAGGAAAAGACAACAACATGGCTATAGTTTATAGAGCATGAACAACAAGAAATCCTATCCTGTTTTACCAGTTGATGACTTATGAGCGATTTTTAATTTTATAACGGATTTCAACAAGTTAAGCAGGAACTGCTTAACTGTACAAAGTACTTCAGTTCAGTCCTGCTAACTGTTGTTATATATATATATATATATATATATAAAAGGAGATGTGTTATGATTGCCAATGAGACAACTATCCACCAAAGTTCAAATGAAGTGGATGTAAGTAATTAAAGGCAACCGTACGGCATTCAACAATGAGAAAAAAACCTGTACCGTATGGTCGGCTGTTAAGAATGCGTTCTCATCTAAAATTAGAAATTCTCATATGCCACTTTACTCATTTTTGTGTGAAAAAGCTACATCTTTTGGCCTGATTGTCATATTTTGCGTTAAAACATCTCTGTATAGCATTATTTATATTTGTTTGTCATTGTTATGCAAGTTTTTGGGTCTTTTTTCGTTAATGCAAATTCAAAACCACATAAATTTAGCATTACCCTTTTTCATAGGATGCTAGAATGTACTATTTCAACACTCCGGAAAAAGTTGAAGCAGTAAAACCTTCATAAATTACTCATTCTGCATTTTTATTATACTTTTATGCTTTTGTTGCAATATATATATATATAACATAGCATTTACCCATCTTTATTTCAGATGTTTCATTGAATAGTATGCTAACTTCAGTATTTTTTCTCTTACTTGTATTTGCTCGGTCTCTATTCCTGCATACAGACCTGGTGTATGTTGAAATCTCATCTTATTTATGAATTTACATTTCCCATGTCTGTATGCCTGCATACAGATCTGGTGTATGCTGAACTTTAAATTGAGATAATAAATGGCATTTCTTAGTCTGTATGCCGGCATACCGACCTGACGTATGCTAAACTCTCACTCTATGCGTATACTAGCATTTGTCAGGTCTGTATGCCTGCATACAAATATGGTATATGTAGAACCTTCAAAATCATTTATTTTGGTATAGTTCAGGTTTGTATGCCTGAATACAAACCTGGTGTATGCAGACCTTAATTATTATTTTTTACCTTGGCATTTTTCAGCGAGGTCTGTCCACATGCAGACCTATTGGATTATAAACTCTTATTCTAGATACATGTTTGAAGTGGCTAGTCTGCATGCCTGAATGCTAAGCATTTGATATGTAGTGACATTTCTTATTTCTTCATGTCTGCATAACCAACCTGTATCAAAATAAGCAGATGGTGTATGATTGCGAAAGAGACATCTCTTAATCAAAGGCAGAATGACATGGATGTAAGCAATTAATAATGCAAAGCCTTCAACTCCGTTTTATTTTGAAAGAAAGCTCTCAATTTCTAGCTGTAACACTCAGGGGTTTATTCCTGTATATCGACCCGTTTTGTGATAAACTCTTGTGAAAATGGAAATAATATAAGTGGAATGCATGCATAGGTATGTTTTTCAGCATACCGACCTATGTATACACTTTTGAACATAAACAGTTTGCCTATTTGCTTTACCTTTTTAGTTCACTGTATTTTTGTATACAAAACTGATGTACGGTGAACTCTTTATTTCATTTACTTGCCAATGGATATACCAGATCTGATTGCCTGCATACCGACCTGTGTTCTATTGAATTATAGTTTTACATTCACATTTTAGTTTTGGCAAACCAAGCTGGTGTTCAATGAGCTGTGATTTTACAATGTACCTAGCGTAATTGTGAAGGGTTTGTCTCCAGACCAAAATGTCTGCATATTTCGGGGAACTTGTTGCATAATTAGCAAGCTGAACGGTTTGCATTATAACCAGCCGTATGTTTGTATTCATATTTTAAATTGCAAAACTATAATTTTTCATCATGTTTCATAGTTAGTAAATCGAATTGATGGATGTCTTAAATTCTGATATAGATGGCAAAATGCATACTTAATAGATACGGCAAAGTTTTAAGTCAGTGTGTATGCATCTCTGCATGTCAACATGGTGCATGACAAATTTCTTGTTTGGTATTTTTTTCACGCTTAGGGGAGGGGCTGTCTGTATACAACTTAATGTACAAGGATGTATGCCAAACATGTTTTTTTATTATCGGTTATTTAAACAATTTGCTTTGATCTGTGTTGATTGAATATCATAAGTCGATATCTAACTGAACTTAGATATAGGAAGATGTGGTATGAGTGCCAATGAGACAACTCTCCATCCAAGTTACAATTCATAAAAGTAAACCATTATAGGTCAAGGTACGGCCTTCAACACGGAGCATTGGCTCACACCGAACAGCAAGCTATAAAGGGCCCCAACAAATTACTAATGTAAAACATTCAAACGGAAAAACCAACGGTCTAATCTATATAAAAACGAGAAACGAGAAACACGTATGAACTACATAAACAGACGACAACTACTGTAACCAGATTCCTGACTTAAGACAGGTGCAAACATTTCATCGAGATTAAACTTTTTAATGGTACCAAACCTTCTCCCTTTTCTGAAACAATAGTATACCATCACAACATAGAAAAACACCTATAAAATATCAATTGGAAGGCTTAACTCAATAAAAAAAACGTAAATTAACACACAATGAACGAATAAATTTGATCTATGACACCTGAATGCAAATACAGCAACATTTAATTTGTTTGAATAACTTAATTTTTGGATTTTCTTGCTCACTTAATTTCAAAAGTTTCTGTCTGTCATTCGATTTTGTTGATAAGTTATCATAAATTACCCTGCTACAGTAATAGCTTCTTACATACACACATCGCAGTATACTGCATGATCATGTGACAAATGTACTGTACAGTTTTCCCAAGGAGAACATCAGACAACCTCCTTGAAGTTGTAAAAAAGAGGATGTGGTATGCCAATGAGACAACTATCCACCAAAATCAAAATGAAATGGATGTAAGCAATTATAGGCAACCGTGCGGCATTCAACAATGAGAAAAACCCATACCGTATATTCGGTATCAAAGACCCCGACACAAAAAAATGAGAAAACGGCCCAATTTATAACAAAACAATTTACGAAAAACACAGGCACATAAAGAATGTGGCGGGGTTAAACATGTTTGTGATGCTCAACCCCCTACTAACCTTGGACAGTTGATTCCATAAGAATTGTTTTAAAGAACAGGAGCTGAATGGGTTAACTGAAGGGCAGTAGTCATGCATTTTGAAGTATTTGTATGGGGGATGAGTTTCTAATTTAAAAAAAATAAATGGGGGACTTAACTCATGCATGGGATCATCACTGTGCATAATCCTATTTCCCATTATTTTTTTTGCAAATTAACGCTTTTCTGTTCGCCTGACTGGAGAAAATATAGAGGTCAGTCGTAGACTTGTAGTTTTCAAAAACCCGAAATCGGTGTCAAACACAACAACTGAAGTCAAGGATTTCGGCAACACCATGTTTGTATGCATTACAATTCTGCAAACACCCAGGTTCGTATGCAGGCATACAGACCTGAGAAAAACAACATTTGATTTAATACCGTTCTGCATACACCAGGTTCGTATGCAGGCATACAGACCTGAGAAATGCAATGTATAAATAAAATGTAAACTTCAGCATACACCAGGTTCTTATGCTGACATAAAGGCCTGAGAAATACAATGTAAAAGAAAAATGTAAGGGTCTGCATACATCAGGTTCGTATGCAGACCCACAGACCTGAGAAATGCAAGTTAATTTATTAAAACTGAGTTCAGCATACACCAGGTTTTTCAATATGCCAGATTCGCAATTTTCAAGTGTTCGATAAAAAGAATGAATTAAGTGTAAACACGTCATTAATAGTCGGTGAAAAATATAGGTATCGACAGACTGTAAAACCGTGAAAGTGCATATGTGTATAACAATAATATTTAGCAAGGTTTTAAATTTTAAGTTACTGATTACAAAATCAGTATTTATACCAATATAAAAAAACAATATTGAAAGATCTAATTACAGTGTTGAAATGGTAACTTTTTAGAAGTTTATTTAAGGGATTAATAAGTTTACCAGGATCTTTATTTCCTAGCTCGGTAAACAACATCCTCGTAAAAATAAGAATGTGCCATTATAAATAAATTTTCTACGGGTACAACCAAACTTTCAAACCAAATATTTGTATCTTAAGAAAGAATTTAGTAAATGTTTTAAGTAATTTGTAGTGAGGAAATCCCTC